GCTGTTTAGCTCAAGACTGGTACTTTACCACTTCCAACTTTTTGCTGGTTAATTGAAGATAAAAGTCTCTTATAGGTTTGTTTTACCAAGCTGGCTTTCTACTGAAATCCTCAGATCTTAGCCTCCTGACTAGTTAAGACTACTGTCAAGAGCCACCAGTGCCCAGCCACTTATGACATTTTAACTTTAAACCAATCTTGTTGTAGAATGTGAAGTTTGGTTTCACACACATGTTCCCATTTACTTTTCTGGTTTTATTCTTTACTTCTTGTCGCCTTTAAAAAAAAAAACTCACTGTTGAACTTTTTACTTGTTTTCTTGCCTGTTAAGACTCAAAGCATATACTTGAAAACACCAACGTTGGTTTTTTTTTAATCTGATGTCACCACTGCATCTCCAATGTCTAGAAAAGTATGAGGTACATGGTTACTATTTAAGAAGCTAAATAAGTAAATGAATTGTGTATGTCCAGAAATTTCCATAGCCAACCTGCTTCCCAGGAACATCTTAGGCTCCCAATTGAAAAAAGTTCTCAATCGTTTGAGCCTTGTGAACTATAAGCTGGGCTTATAGTGGGTAGTTTGAGAGCTCTTTGCAATCAGCTTTCAATGTATAAGGGTGGAATTGCTACATCATAAAAAGGACAGAAACCTAGTTACCAGGGTCACAAAAGTTTCTCCAATCTGAGAGCCTGCCTGACTTTGCTCACTGCCACACTTTGCATCTTCTAGTGGACCTACTTCCATAAACTCCCGATCTCACTGCTATCCTAGATGTTTGAGCAAAAACTTCCTTTACACACCTTCAGAGAGGAAAAGAAGCTAATCAAACTGAAGACTGGTGAGGTTTTGTTTCAGTAGCCTGTACTTTTGACTTCCTTGTTGAAACAAGCTGCTTACGGTTTCAGGAATCATTTCACCAAAACCATCAGCCTCAGGGGACACTTGGTGAAAAAAAATCCAAACCTATATGAAATGAGAACACCGCTGCCTGGTCACAAAGGAGAGTTTTCAAAACGAGTGAAAAGACAATACGTTTTTGACTTTGTGGTACATGAGGTTTAACTGAACTTCTTTGACACAAAGATGATCAATAACACCATATGGAAAAACAAAAAGCTCTGCTTTACACCTAATAATATCTATCCAGAAGTGCATAAATTATTGCCCTTCAATCCTCTGGATTTTTGAGTTTTGACCTGCCTGAAGAGCACTATATTGCACCCATTTCCTTGAACACACTGCCTCTCATGATCCTCAGTGAGGAGTAAGAACTTGAAAACCTCACTCCAGTTGAGTCCCCCTTTACCTATAAGGAAGCCTTCGCCACCATCGGGGATATAACATGTTCCAAGCACCAAACATTTTGTTGATCCTGGATGTTGAATTGTGCCCCCCCTTTTTGTTACAACATAGATAATTAAATTTCTCAGTGTTGTATAGTTTATGTTTGTATTAATAAAGCATCTTTGTTTATGAGACAAGGAGAGAGACAGAAACAGAGACAGAGAGACATAGAGATAGAAAAATAAGGAAATTTACTGTGCAGGGTCCCTGCCACAAGATGAGGCAAGGGAGACTGAGGCTCAAAAAATGATTGACTATTTCTTGGAACAGCCAAGTCTCCCTATCCAAAGCCTTCTTCAAATAGACATTTGAATTCATCAGAGTCCCTTTCTAGGATTCAACACAAACAGAAGGGATAAAAGTGATTAAAAAGGGGGGAGGGATCAATCATTCATAACTCACGGTGCATCTGTTCAACTTGCCACTGTATTGACAAAGGTTTATGTAGTATGTTTTCCCAGGTGGAAGCAGTCTTTGTGTAGGGGAGATGCTGGAGGGTATAAAGATCCCCAGAAAAAAATGAAGTAGAGAGCATGAATTTTGCAAAACCATACAAAATTAGCAGGAGTTTGGAGTGCAGAGAACAGATGGAAGAAAACAGATAGGAATGGGAAACAAATGCCATTTTCCACATTGTTTCTGAGAACCTGAATTGAAAGGTCATTAAAAGAAAGGTTCCTCTAATGTTAGATTACTGAGGGCTAACCTTGATGGCTGTGATGTCAGAAAAGGCATTTTCATCTCATGAGGAATCAATGCATGTGAAGTTGAGATACTGATATTACTTGCCGTGAGAATTAGAGGCCTGGGCACCGTCACCAGGAATTGTCTATGTTGCTATCCTAGGACTTTATTTAATTTAGTTTAGTTAGTTTTACTTTAGTTACTGATGAATCAGCCACCTAATTATCACTTATATATTGTTGTCAGATTGCTTGTTTATCTCTACCTGCTCCAGGCCTGACAGTGGATGGATGTAATGGGATATTTCACCAAATCCCAGAAATCACTTTCAAATTTAGCATGCCTACAAACCCCAAGTACAACTAGCCATTCCTTGGGATGCATTGGGGATTGGCTATAGAATAATTCATGGATACCAAAATCTAGATGTTCGTCTTTTCTAAAATGGCTTAGTATTTGCATATGACACGTGCACATCTCCAGTAGTCTTTAAGAAATCATCTCTACATTACTTAGTAAATGCTACATGGCTGTGCTATATTGTTTAAGGAATAGGAAAAATCATTTGTGCATATTCAATATAGTTACAATTATTTTCAAGTATTTTTATTTGAGATTGGTTGTATCCACAGACATAGAAATTATGGATAGAAGTTCAACTGTCAATCAAAGCCACATTGGAAAACTCAGGGAAGGAGGGTTTTTACTATGATCGTCAAAATGTCACTCAGTGATTGTGTCATTTACTAATGCTACATTGGACTTCAGAGAGCCTCAAAAATAAAGTACTGGAATTGATTTAAGAGAAAATATAATTCAAGTCCTTTCTCAGAGGATGGAAGGAAGATAAATAACGGAGAGATACCTTCCAATGTTCACAAATACAGAAATTAGAGTGAATAAATAATCAACAAAGGCATAATAGCTAGATAATCCAAATCTATTTTATTATATGTAATATTTAAAAGACAAGTTGAATAACAGCTAAGAGATTACCTTTGCTTTTAAAATGTAAAATAGATTTTACATTTAGTTATACATTTTTGGTTATATTTTTCATAAGACAATTTTTAATATTAACAAGTGATAGCAACTTACAAAATGGAAATTAACTAAAAAGAAGTGAAATATGAACAATTATATAAGACAAAACATGAAAATTATACAAAAAGAAACCAATTTATAATATATTTTATGTCAATTTTGTTAACACCTCCAATTAGTTTGATATCATAATCCTAAAATTACTTAATTTTAAATGTTATAGACAAAAAAAGAGTTCACATGTAGTTTAAACTTACAATAAAAACAGAAAAGGAAGAATAATGAAGGAAATGAAAAGATTATTCATACTTTGATTACAAATCTATTCTTACAACATAACCTAACAAGCGAACTTAATCTAACTTAACCTAATTTTGTCTAACTGAACCTAATACATTACATATTCCAACTATAACCTTTCTTCACAAAATAATATAATGGCACGATTATTTTTAGGACTTTAGATCATGAATCCATTCTTACTATTGTTCTATTGTTTTAAGCTTTTTTTTTTTTAGTTCCTAACCCAAGCACAGACACAGCAGTGTTTAAACTTGTATTATGCTCACAGATTTTTTAACTTTAAAAAGCCTTAGTATTTTTGAAACTACATATCATCAGAGAGAAAAACAAAGCTTAAGGAATTTCAAGAATTTGCTTATTGTTTTAGAATCTTTACTTTTTCATCATTGTTTTATGGCTTTTAATTTTTTAACTGCTCCCTGGCACAACTTCAGCTTACAATAAAGATGCATTGTTTCTGGAAGTTTTACTTAAAAATTCTTAACATTTTTTAATTGCCATATCATCTACATTTTAAAAATGTGATCAATGCATATTAAAAATGTTTAGCTGTTTTACAGGGCTTTGAAAGTGTTTTTCTTATCATTGGTATTCGTGTGTGTGTATGTGTGTGAGGAGTTTTATTTCTATTACCTCTAACATAAGGACAAATGTAGCTGTCTTTCCAGATGCACTGTGTTCAAAAGTTTTACTGACAAACCTCAATATTCTTATACCTTCTTTTCATCTCCAATGATAAGATTTTAAGAATTTGTTTTGGGTTTCATTGTTTCAAGTGAGTTATTCTTTTACAGAATTTTAATATTGTTTTTATATCTCCTGAAGTGGGTGCCAGTTTAGCAGCTTCCTTTATGCATTTTGTTCTAAGGCATCATATGAAAATTATAAAAGTGGTAAGATCTAATAAATTTTACAGATGTTTCAAAATTTAAGCTCTAAGAATTAGGAGTGGTTTTTAAAAATAAGGGTTTGTTTGGGAATTTATGGGGTTTTCTGTAATTTACATTCAACCTAGATAAAATTTTAGCAGATTTCTAGTTGAACTGTGCTTGAAAATTTCATATTAAATGACATAGTATATTTTTTAATTTACAGAGCTATGACACAAAATAGTAATGCAAGTGTTAGGAACTATTTTTGCTTGTTTCTCTTTTTTGGGTCCTTTTCATTTTGTAGTTTTTGTTTTATTTTGCTTGTTTTGATTTATGTATACTTTTTTCAATTTGCTCCTGACCTGGACACAAATTCAGCAGCTATTTGGCTACATTGTGCTCCAAAACTTAATAGAAAATAGGAAATACATATATTCTATAGATACACAAAATTATTAATGCAAGGTTTTTTTGCTTTATTAATTTTTAAGGTTTTTTTGTTGTTATTTATTTACATTTTTTTTCAATTCACTCCTGACCTGGGCACAAATGTTGCAGAATTCTAGCTGCATTGTACCCCAAAATTTAATATGAAGATAAATATTTTACAAAACCCAGTCCCTCCCCACAGAATGAAAATTGGAGTTTTTAATTTTAAAGAATGTGATATTGCTTACAGATTGTTAATTGACATCTTGTATTTTTATATGATTTTTCCATTCTACACCCCCAAGCACACAGGTAGCAGCTTTTTAGCTTAGAAGTTTAGAATGAAAATCTTATTGTAGTTTTAAAAAGGAAAATATTAAAAACTGAGATCATTGGTAGTTATAAATGTATAAAACTTGTTAACTTTCCATCTCTTCTCATCCATATTCATGCAGTTTTTCTGTTGTCAAAATTCACACGTTTTGCCAATTCTTTTAAATGTGACACATTCCTTATTAATAATGCTAGATTAAAATATGCTCATATGCTAAAATAAATTTCATGGTAATTCACAAAAACTAGCATGTATCAGTAGTAACACAAACATTTTTTAAATAAATCCCTGAATTTGTTCTATACTTATAGGCCAAATCCAATTACCAAAATCATTGGAATGGAAATGTATTTTGAAAAGTTTTACAGTAATCTCCACCACACTAAAGACAAGGCCACTGACAACTTATATATAATGTGATACAATGAAATATCAACTCAGAAGAAGAGTCTGGTGATCTATTTTGGTTTCTGTAATTAGACTTGACCTATAATTACTGAACAAAACAGCGTATGTACAATAATTGTCCAAACAAATGGATCTGGCTGTATTTGGTACATTAATCTATTCTCAGCATCATTAGCTTCAATCTTTTTTCGTATTTGTATCATAAGAAAAATCATAAGAGAAACTATATCTGGACCTGAAGACAATTCTCGTACCTAGAAAGTGGATTCTAGCATTAATTCACCACCATTATTTGTTGTTTGATCACTAACTTCCTCTTGAATAGCTGGAAGGGAAGGCTTTGTGGTCAGAGGTGTTTCAGTCTTAAACAGAGACTCCATTCTGATATGGGTGTTGATGTAGAAGGACTTCTGAAAAGACTCAAGGGTAAAGTAATAGATGAAAGGGTCAAAGCAACAATTCAGAGTGGCAAGGCACAAAGTAATTGGGTACATGATCTTTGCAAATCGTTCCAACAAACAATTAGTAATGGCTTGAGAGCGCACCAAGGCATACAGGAAGAGAACAGAGTTGTAGGGTACAAAGCATACCACAAAGACTGCCATATGTACTGTGATCATCTTCAGCACTTTTTTCTTATTGGTCCCAATTTGTGACAGTGTCGCCGGCTTGCGAAGGGTTCTCAGCACCACAGAGGAGCAGGAAACATTCAATATGAGAGGGATAATGAACCCAACAACTTCAATAAATATTGTAATCTTGGACAGATAAGTCTTCCAGACACGCTTGGAGAAGCCCTCAAAGCAGGTGGTAGTTGCATTGTTGACATTAGTAGTGGAGAACAAAGAAGCTGAAATACCACCACTAAGGACTAGGATCCAGACTCCAGCACACACAATGGCAGAGTTCCTTCTGGTCCTAATGGTACGAGACCTAAAGGGATAAACAATAGCCAGGAAACGATCCACACTGATACAGGTGAGGAAGAGCATACTCCCATAGATGTTGGTAAGGAATGCAGTCCCCGAGATCTTGCAGAGGGTGTCACCAAAAGGCCAGTGGCGATTGAAGTTGTAAAATATTTTGAAAGGTAGGGTACAAACAAAGAGCAAATCAGAGAGGGCCAGATTGGTAATGAAAATAGCCGTCTCACTTCTCATTTTCATGCGGAAGCAGAAGACAAACAGAGAAGCGCTGTTGGTGATTAGACCCAAGATGAATACAACACTGTAGACAGCACCATTCAGATTATACTTGAAAGAATCATCAACAATACAAGTATTATTGGCAGTCGCATTGCCCAATCTGGGCCTGAGACTTGAATTTAAATCTTGGAACTGGAAGTCAATGAATCTCCTGTCACCCATGGATTTTGTTTTCAGAAGGCCTGCTAGCTGCAGGGACTCACCACTCTCAGATTAGGGACAGACAAGAATTTTTTCCTCCTGTAGAAAACAAGAAGGAATAAGTCAAATTTATTTTCCATCCATAAATTCTGTGAAGATATTCTGCTCATCCGATCAAAAGATAACAGATACATATAATTTGGATTGACAACTGCTTCTGAAGTGTCTCTTTCTTTTTCCTGCTGATCATGGCGCTTTTTTGCTCAAGAATAGCAATCTGCCATTTAAGCCATAGCCCCTTTCTGACTTTTTGGTGGCTAATTGGAGATAAGAGTATACACATAGAGCTCCTCTATGACCCAGCAATCCCACTTTTGGGTATCAACCCAAATGTTCACAAATAAGGCCATACTAAAGCTACCAGCACAACTGTTTATTGCAGCATTATTCACCATAACTAAGATATGGAACCAACCCAGATGACCTGAAAGTAGATGAGTGGATCAAGAAAATGTGGTATATATATATATATGTGTGTGTGTGCACGTGTGTGTATATATACACACACACATATATACATATATATGTGTGTATATATATGTATAATGGAATTCTATGCCTCCATCAGAAAGAATGACACCACCCCATTTGTTAGGAAATGGAAAGACTTGGAAAAAATTATATTAAGTAAAGTAAACCTGGCCCAAAGAAATATAAGTCCCATAGTTTCTGTTATTTGCAATAACCAGTATATTTCTAGGACAAGCAGAAAAGGCCAAAAGCTATATACCTATGACCATATAAGATGATAATAAGCGAAATGAACCCCAAGATAAGGACACAAGAGATTTTATCTTCCTTGGTATTGTCTTTAATGTATTTATAATATACTATGTGATGTTTTTATTTCTTTTATATGTTCTTCCCCCATGGTATAACCCCTATTTTCACTGTGTTTGATTCCAATGTCCTGCATCTTGTATATACATTTTTTTCTAATTTGGGGAGGGGAAGGAAAATAACAAAATGCTTAAATAAGGATACAGGTTGACCCATTGCAACAATGAGATGTACAAGACACTATGTTGAAAACGAACTTTACAACTTCAACTTCAGGGTGCGGGGAGGGAGAAAGGGATGGCAGGGGAAAAACAAAGGAGGAGGTAACAATGTTCCATAGGATGATGTACTCATTACCTTACTCATGTAACTGTAACCCCTCTGTACAGTATCTTTACAATAAAAAATATATATACTTTAAAAAAAAAAAGTCCCAGACTTTCCTGCCAGAGCTGGCCTCAAACCAGAATCTGAAATCTCAACCTCCTTGAATAGCTAGGATTACAGGCATGAGCCATGGTTGTCTGGTTCAGCATCTACTATTCCCAGGCAATCTCCCATCTAAGTACTACACAGGCCCAGCCCTGCTTAGCTTCTGAGATCAGATGAGATTAAGTACCTATGACATGTTAAAAGGAACTACCTGGATACTCAGAAGGCGGAGATCTGAGGACAATTCAAAGCTAGCCCTGGCAGGAAAAGTCTGAGACACTTGTCCTCAATTAACCAGCAAAAAGCCAGAAGTAGAGCTGTGGCTCAACTGGGACAGCAATAGCCCTCAACAATAAAGCTCAGGAATAATGCCAGGGGCCCCCTAAGTTCAAACCTCAGGTCCTGCACACACACACACACACACACACACACACACACACACACACACACCAACTGCCTGGTTATACGGTACAAGTGGGAGAGATTGTAGCATGGCAATGGACATGAACAAGACATAAATTACCTAAGAGTCTAGGGAGAAATGAACACCTGATGAGTAACATAATGTTACTACTTTAGAATTCATATGGCATTTTCATTCATCAAAATCTTTTCAAAAGCCATGATTTATTTTATTCCCACAAAAATACTACAAGGTGGGAAGAACAGAAATTATCACCATTTTATGGCAGGAGAAAATAAGCTTAAGTGATATGGAGTTAGAGAATATCAGAATTGGAAGAGGCTGTAAATAGTATAGTCAATTCAAATTCAGATTCTTTGATTCCTAACCAATGGATTTTTAAAATTCAAATTGTGAAAATTTTTTATTGTCAAGGTGATAGAAGGGTTTCAGTAAGGTAATGAGTACATTCCTTGTCAACCTTGTTAACCCTTTCCTCAATTTTCTCCTACTTTCCCTCCCTCCCAACCCCCCCAAGTTGTACAGATCATTTCCAACATACTGTCCTGTGCATATCGTTGTTATATTGGTTCTACCCTTGTCCTTTGTCTCACCATTCTGTTGTTCCCCTTCCTTTTCCTAATTCAAACAAGCATATATACAATACCAGGGTACCAAAATCAAATACAGTAACAACAGAAGATATACCATAGAGGGAAGATCATACAAAAGAAAAAAATCACATAGTACATTAAAAAAAAAAAACAAAAGAAAAGAAAAACTACTTGTGTCCATGTCTTGGAGTTCATTTCATTTAGCATCATCTTATATGGTCACATGTACTTAGCTATAGAGCTATTCTGCTCATCTGCTAAGATTATCCTAGACATATACTAATTATTGCAAATAAAGGAAACCATGGGTCCTATGTTTCTTTGGGTCTGGCTTACTTCAATAATGTGATTTTTTCCAGGTCTCCATTTCCTTATGAATGGGATGATGTCATTCTTTCTGATGGAAGCATAGAATCACATTTTCTTGATCCATATTCATCTACTGAGGGGCATTTGGGTTGGTTCCATATCTTAGCTATGGTGACCAATGCTGCGGTAAACATAGTTGTGCTGGTAGCTTTAGTGTGGCCTTGTTTATGATCATTTGGGTAAATGCCCAGAAGTGGGATTGCTGGGTTATAGGGGAGTGTAGTCTTTAGAGGAACCTCCATACTGCTTTCCAGAGTGCTTGAACAAGTTTACACTCGCACCAACAGTGTATTAGGGTTCCCTTTTGACCACATTTCCTCCATCATCTGTTGTTATTATATTTCTTGGTTGCAACCATTCTAACTGGGATGAGGTGGAATCTCAATGTTGTTTTGATTTGCATGGCCAGAGAAGTGAGCATTTCTTATGTGTCTATGGGCTATTCTTATTTTCTCTTCAGAGAAGTCTCTCTTTAAGTCTTTAGCCCACTTATTAATAGGGTTGTTTCTTTGAGGGCTTGTTTTGGGGGGATTTAATCTTTTGAGTTGAAAGTATATTTTAGATATGAGGTTCTTATCTGTTATATATTTTAGATATGAGGCTCTTATCTGTTATATGGCTAGTGACGATCTTCTCCTAATCTCTGGGCTTTCTATTGATCTTGCTAGCTATGTTCTTTGCATATCGGAAGCTCTGCAGTTTCATGCAATCCCATTTGTCCAACCTTTCTTTGATCAGTTGTGTTTCTGGGTCTTTATTAAGGAAATTTTGGCCTGTGCCAAGGAGCCCTAGAGTTTCTCCAATTCCTTCCTGTAATGTTTTCAGGGTGTCTGCTTTTACTTCAAGGTCTTTGGTCCATTTAGAGTTGATGCTGGTGCAGGGTGATATATAAGGATCTAACTTTAGTTTTCTACAGGTGTTTAGCCAAATTTTGCCAGCACCATTTACTGAAGAGGCTGTCTTTCTCCCATCCTATTTTTTTGGCTCCCTTATCAAAGATTAGGTGGCTATAGGTCTGCGGGTTCATTTCTGTAATCCATGGATTTATAAGCTACTCTAAATTGTACAGTCTATGCTCTCCAGTATTATTGAAACACCATGGCTGAGTACTACTTCAATTACATTAAACAGCAAGTGGATATAAGATCTCCAGAACGTGGTCTAAAAATATTATGATTACACTCCTAAATTGTTGATTAACACACCTTTTTCTACTAAAACAAGAGTTTGGAAGCAAGGTATGATGGCAGACATCTCTAATCCTAGCACTTGTGAGGCTGAAGCAGGAGGGTTATGAGTTCAACACCAGACTAGGCTACTTAACTAATAAGAATCTATCACACACAAAAAATTAAAGATAAGTAGATAAGACAAGAGTTCAGAGGAAAAGAATACCTCAATTAGAGTTGCTAGTTAATCAGAGCTACTAGCTAACAGTTTTCTCATTGTATCACAGTATCTTTCTTGAGAAACAATTCAAATAATAAACATTTATACTGTCAATATTCCCCTCCTGCAGCTCATGGTTCTCTTGCTTTCTCATACTGGACTCTAAGCATAAGATTTCATGTCTTCGTTTTCCTTTCCTACTGCTCACCACTTCAGATATTTCTATGCCTCCATCCCAGTCCTGGTCAGTAAAGTATTTCCCATCAGATACAAATGAGACATGAGAAGTAGATTTGACGTGAATATCCATGCCCCGTTTTGCACACCTGATCTAAGCCATTTGCATGCTCTCTGCCTGTTACTGCTTACGTAAGTAACAGCCACTGACTTAACTGAGTATCTAGGCCAACATGGTTTGAAGGCACATATAGAAGTCTTACCAACTTTTTTCTAGGTCAATAGCTGCCATTGGACAGTGACTTCCTTTCAAATCTGTACTGTTAATACACTATGGACAAGTAGCTGCTGAATGATTCTTTTCAATGAAGAGGATATGGAATAAAAGTGGCCTTTGTCCCTTGACATATGCTGAGTTTTGCATGATTATATTGTAAAATGTGAAAGGCAGTTTTCTGAAGTGATTCTTTCTTCATTCCTTTCCTTCAAAACTCCTAGGAAACAGGTCAATGGACCTTTATGGATGATAGAGAAGGGGGTAAAGGGAAACTGCAAGAGATACAGAGGCATGAAATCACCTCAACCTCGATTAGAAACAAAAGCTACTGGGTTTGAGAAAGATACATTCATGCCAAAGAATTAATATTCACATTATGAGTTCAAAAATTAAACACCAAAAATCCATTTCATAAATGGCCAAAATTGATTGATTGAACCAATGATTCTCAAAGGAGGTGCAAATGGCAAATAAGTACATGAAGAAATGTTCAACATCCTTATCCTTAGCCATAAAGGAAATGCAAATAAAAAGAATACAGAAATTCTATCTTATCCCAATCACAATGTCTATCGTCAAGAAAACAACAAATATAGTA